CGAGACCCCAGACCCCAGGAAAGGGGCTGGGGGATGATGTCATTTTCCAGGCCCTTGGAGAAGGTCCTGGAAGGCGTGGCTAGTGGCAGAGTGAGCCGGGACCCTGTATATAAGCCAGGTCCCTGAGCGGTCCCGGCAGTCATCGTCCGGTCACCTGGAGACCTGAAGAGAAGAGCCCAATGGGCAGAGCTGAACCCTTGGCTAGGGTCGGCTTGAGCTCGTACCAGTGAGAGCTCCAGCTTATAACCAGTGAAGACTCAAGCCGCAGCAGTGTAGACATAGTGATAGCCAGTAAGAGGCGAGGTAGCCTGGAGGGACTCCCTCCATAGAGCATCGGGTGAAAGGGGCCATTATCCTTTTGTGTTGTAGTCTGTTGGTGTTGTAATAAACGTGTTGCCTCAGAATAAGCTTCCTCCAGTTTATTACCCACTACACATCCATTGCATCTCACACGTCCCAATGGGACACCCGGTGGCGGCTTTCCCTGTGCGGGCACAATGTGACTGCACACGCCCGCAAGATTCATTAGATTATCAGCAGGGGGCGATAATTGCTCCATGTACAGTCACTCCTTGCTTAACGTCGGCCCGTTTAACGTTGCTTCGCTGCAACATTGCCGATGACTCACGACCCATGTATGCATTTAACGTCGCATGGTGTCACTGTAACGTCACTTCCAGCAGGGTAACTGCGGGCAAACTGCTTTCCACGGCGGAGAGCGAGGCGGCCTCGTGCCACGCACGCTGCTAAGGAATGCCCCAACCGGGTCCAATGCATCTCTACACGATCATACTGTATGGCGAGTCCTCGCCTTCGGCTGCGCGGGTGAGTGTGATAGAGTACGAGGTGTGATAGAGTACGAGGTGTGATACAGTACGTGGTGTGATACAGTATGCACTGTGATTCAGTACGTGGTATGGTACAGTACACGGTGTGATATAGTACCAGTGATACAGTACGAAGTGATACAGTACGCGGAGGGATACAGTACGCGGCAGCTTACCCTCGCCTCAATTCATTGTGGTAAACATCACCACCACTATACTAAGCGGCGGTTGTTATTATTGTTGTGAGAGTGAGTGGGGAGTGGTTTGTGTGCTGAGCTACAAACCCAGAAGAGACCCGAGTCTGAGTCCAGCTCACATCCACCACTACCATCACGAGTGGCAGTGATTATGTGAACCAGGTCCTGGGCCTCCCCTAGGTCGACTATCCCCTATTCACATTGTTTCTTAAGGGAAAATAGGTTTTTCTAAACATTGCTTTGCTTAAAAGTCACATTTTCCAGGGACGCAACCCCAACGTCAAGCAAGGAGTGACTGCGCGGTACCGTAATGCCAACCAAGTTACACTTCCCTTTACAAAAGTTGAAGTGCAACAACTTGGCCATGGCATTCTCTTCGATGTCCAAAGGAATCCGTTTCACTGTACACCTTCTGCAAACAGGTCTCATTGAGGGCTTTCACCAATGAGTTCCGTAGGCTCGTTTGCCATCCAACCCAGCAAGGCAACTTCGGGGGATTCATAAAAAAAAACTGTATCATGCAAAGCAGAACTTGTAGGACAAATAACAATTCATAACGTTTAATTTTTTGTTCTCCTCGATGAATTGCAGTCATTCTGAGACGTTATTCATTCTCTTCCACATCCCACCATCTGGTGTTCATGCCACACATTCTGTACTGTTGTTCTCTATGACGTTAAGAACAATATGTCCAAGTAAAATATTTTTGGAGCTGACAAAACCTGACTTCTCTTTACACTTACATTCAATATGAAGCGCTATCACAACTGAATTAACTAATCACAGGTCATGGGTATGTGGTATCTTACCCAGTTTTTTGGCGAGCTCTTTGGCCAGCGTTCTCTTGCCAGTCGCCACGTTCCCCTCCACCACAATCAGCTTGCTATTTGGCTTGAAGTTGTCCTGGATCCTCTCGCCCATGAGGTACGCCAACCAACCGCGTCTACCGCATCGTGCGCTTGAATGCACGGGTGCCTGCTTATCAAACAAGTAATTCGCAGTGAGCAGGGCAAGTGCTCAGGCATTAGCTTGAATGGTAATAAAGAAAACACTTTGAATCATGAACGAAAAAAATACTCGTGAGATCACTTGACAATTTTAAGGAAGAACCAAACTTCGAATGCACGTGAATTGGATCATTGGTGATAGTTTGTAGGTCGATGGTAGCAATTAGAGTCATTTATTTAGGATTTGTTGGAGAGCCTGTAGAGAGTAGAGGGGCACGGAGTCAGAAGTGAGTCACTGAACCGAGAGCAATTACAGAGTCAGAAGTCACTGGTCAGAAGGGTCAGTAGAGAATCACTAGTAAGGGGAGTCAGTAGAGAGTCACAGGTCAGGAGAGTCAGTAGAGAGTCACTAGTAAGGAGAGTCAGTAGAGAGTCACTAGTAAGGAGAGTCAGTAGAGAATCACAGGTCAGGAGAGTCTGTAGAGAGTCACAATCCAGTAGAGAGTCAGTAGAGAGTCAAAGGTCAGGAGAGTCAGTAGAGAGTCACAGGTCAGGAGAGTCAGTAGAGAGTCACAGGTCAGGAGAGTCAGTAGAGAGTCACTAGTAAGGAGAGTCAGTAGAGTCACAGGTCAGGAGAGTCAGAAGAGAGTCACAGGTCAGGAGAGTCAGAAGAGAGTCACTAGAAAGGAGAGTCAGTAGAGTCACAGGTCAGGAGAGTCAGAAGAGAGTCACAGGTCAGGAGAGTCAGAAGAGAGTCACTAGTAAGGAGAGTCAGTAGAGAGTCACAGGTCAGGAGAGTCAGTAGAGTCACAGGTCAGGAGAGTCAGAAGAGAGTCACAGGTCAGGAGAGTCAGAAGAGAGTCACTAGTAAGGAGAGTCAGTAGAGTCACAGGTCAGTAGAGAGTCAAAAGAGAATCACAGGTCAGGAGAGTCTGTAGAGAGTCACAGGTCAGTAGAGAGTCAGTAGAGAGTCACAGGTCAGGAGAGTCAGTAGAGAGTCACAGGTCAGGAGAGTCAGTAGAGAGTCACAGGTCAGGAGAGTCAGTAGAGAGTCACTAGTAAGGAGAGTCAGTAGAGTCACATGTCAGGAGAGTCAGTAGAGAGTCACTGGTCAGGAGAGTCAGTAGAGAGTCACAGGTCAGGAGAGTCAGTAGAGTCACAGGTCAGGAGAGTCAGTAGAGAATCACAGGTCAGGAGAGTCAGTAGAGAGTCAAAGGTCAGGAGAGTCAGTAGAGAGTCACAGGTCAGGAGAGTCAGTCGAGAGTCACAGGTCAGGAGAGTCAGAAGAGAGTCACAGGTCAGGAGAGTCAGTAGAGAGTCACTAGTAAGGAGAGTCAGTAGAGAGTCACAGGTCAGGAGAGTCAGTAGAAAGTCACAGGTCAGGAGAGTCAGAAGAGAGTCACTAGTAATGAGAGTCAGTAGAGAGTCACAGGTCAGGAGAGTCAGTAGAGAGTCACAGGTCAGGAGAGTCAGTAGAGAGTCACTAGTAAGGAGAGTCAGAAGAGAGTCACAGGTCAGGAGAGTCAGTAGAGAGTCACTAGTAAGGAGAGTCAGTAGAGAGTCACTAGTAAGGAGAGTCAGAAGAGAGTCACTAGTAAGGAGAGTCAGTAGAGTCACAGGTCAGGAGAGTCAGAAGAGAGTCACAGGTCAGGAGAGTCAGTAGAGAGTCACAGGTCAGGAGAGTCAGTAGAGAGTCACTAGTAAGGAGAGTCAGAAGAGAGTCACAGGTCAGGAGAGTCAGTAGAGAGTCACTAGTAAGGAGAGTCAGTAGAGAGTCACTAGTAAGGAGAGTCAGAAGAGAGTCACAGGTCAGGAGAGTCAGTAGAGAGTCACAGGTCAGGAGAGTCAGTAGAGAGTCACAGGTCAGGAGAGTCAGAAGAGAGTCACAGGTCAGGAGAGTCAGTAGAGAGTCACTAGTAAGGAGAGTCAGTAGAGTCACAGGTCAGGAGAGTCAGTAGTCACAGGTCAGGAGAGTCAGTAGAGAGTCACAGGTCAGGAGAGTCAGTAGAAAATCACTAGTAAGGAGAGTCAGTAGAGAGTCACAGGTCAGGAGAGTCAGAAGAGTCACTAGTAAGGAGAGTCAGTAGAGTCACAGGTCAGGAGAGTCAGAAGAGTCACAGGTCAGGAGAGTCAGAAGAGAGTCACTAGTAAGGAGAGTCAGTAGAGAGTCACAGGTCAGGAGAGTCAGTAGAGTCACTAGTAAGGAGAGTCAGTAGAGTCACAGGTCAGGAGAGTCAGTAGAGTCACTAGTAAGGAGAGTCAGTAGAGTCACAGGTCAGGAGAGTCAGTAGAGAGTCACAGGTCAGGAGAGTGAGTAGAGAGTCAGGGGCATGGGGAGTTCAGGAGAGACACAGGCCCGGGGCCTTGTCCCCGTCACCTTGAACGCCGCTCTCCCCTCCAGGACAGGGCCCAGAAGCGGCCTCGCGGCGGCGCTCGTGCCGCGCAGGAGCAGAGTGGCTGCCAATGCCGCTGCCATCGCGCGCTGCTACTGCTGCTGTTGTTGCTGCTGCTGTTGCTGTTGCAGCTGCTGTAGCTGGAGCCGCTCGCTCCGCAACTTTGACCTCAGTTCCCACGGAGCGCGGATCTCGACTCTCCTCCCTCACACGGATCCAGGCCCCAAGCCGTGACGTCGAACCCACGGCGAATCTGTGATGACGTAATCACGTATCGAAACGCAATGACCGAGGGGCGATACGTGGTGACGTCACCTCGCAGAGCAAATCCGTGGGAACGCAATCGTGGAGCGAAACGCAACGGAGAGGACGATTGGCGGTGACGTCACCACGCACGGTGAATTTGCGGCGACGTAATTACGTAGAGAAACGAATGGACCGAAGGGCGATACGTGGTGATGTCGTCACGCACAGCGAATTTTCGGTAACGTAATCACGTTGCGATAAGCAATGAAGGGAGGGCGATACGCGATGACGTCTCCACGTACAGCGATCCACGGTGGCGAGTAACGATTCGACACGCGACCCGAGTGTGGCTGCAGCTTTCAGTCCATCAATTGAATCGATTTTTAGTAATCACGGTGATGTAGCGAATCGTCGCTGACGAGCGTGAGAAGCTCCGTGCTGCCGTGTGGGCGACTTGCAGTGGTGGCGAATCGCGGCAGAGTCGACTCCTTCCTCACCCCAGCGGGCCCGCGAGAGACACCGAGACGCTGACGCAGCCTCCGTCCGCCAGCGAAAGGGGGCAGCGGCGGCGGCAGCGGCAGACATGGTGATTACGGCTCCCTTCTCCTGCATCTGCTCACTCCTCCTGCCTCTGCTCCCTCCTCCAGTCAGTGTCTTCAAAGGCCTCTCTGGTGTCTAATGCAAACCTGTCACACCATACCGTATTCAGGTCCATACGGCGGGCAAAATGTTCCGTGTCTATTTGTGTAGCTCCCTTGTGATAGAACTTTGCAAGATGATCGTTGAGATGGAAAGGGCACGGGGTGACCAATAAGGTCTGAACTGGTCTGTAATAATGTAGGCACTCACTAAGGGTTGACAGGTATGTTCATTTAAACACGAGGCTTTTGAGAATGCTGTGGTATTGACATTCGAGACGGGCTATAACTTGGGTAGTTCGCAGTGCTTGAGACACAGCCGACTTGGTGACCCAACCCAGCAGGGCAATTACTCGACGGTATAACCTCAATCCTTGACAATAGTTTACAGGGCCATAATCGTTTTTGGGTTAGATCGCGTAAATCTAAATGTGTTAAACCCGTCACCACCCGATAGCCAATTAGCAAGGTTTGTCACGTAAACAAAACATGCCAATTAGTTACGAGTTCAGCACACCGGTGTTGGAGACTTGTAAACGTTTACTCTGACGTGACAAACATTCTTGCTAATTGGCTGTGCCGGGTGGTGGCGGGTTTAACGACACATTTATATTTACGCGATCTAACCCCCCAAAAAGCCTCTTATTGATAATATTGTTCACTAAAGCCTCCAATGTGTAGAACAGTTTAAAGAGCATCCAGAGATGGCAGCTGTTCCCGTGAGGCACACGCGACTTGGCACGCGGCCTGCGAGCGGCCCCGCTCGTGATGACTTTGCGCGCCATCCCGACCGGGGTCATTTAACGAACAGTTTTTAGGACTTGGAAAATGTGCAACGGGATCCCGGCACACAATCGCCTGCCCTCGTACATAACGTCCACTGCGCAGTCGACGGCGCGTAGTATGTTCTGGTGAATACACCCTGCAGTGATAACCAGGGCGTCCTGCTGAATTCGCACCGTCAACCGAGACAAAGATCATCCCCCGTGTGTAGCTTGTAAGAGACTTGGGGCAAGTGCTGTTCGTGAGTAGCATCTAAGGCCGGCATGGCGCACGAGGGTGTGGGTGGCAAACACCACGCCCGGCCGCCTTTGTCTCCCCAGTGGCGATGTTTACTGCACACCGCACCAGATACTCAATTTGAGGCCGAGTCAACCTAATGGCCCCACACACACGAATACCCAGCGCCATTCGCCACTAAGTGATGGTGACGTCACCACGACGCCTGTGCCAGGCCAGGTGCACTTTGAGGCGACGTGAAGTGTCCAAGGCTCTCTGACAGGTGCCATGGGTTGACTGAGATGGCTGGAAAATGCACCACCTGTGTCCCCTACTGTGCCAACACACACACATATACAGTACTGTATACACACACTTGGATCCTGGGGCTTTTGCATGCAGCACTAAGTAACTGTGCTTCCGCAGGTGGTCCTGGATGGCAGTGACGTCTTGTTTCGACTGAGAGGCTGCCTGGACCTGGATATCGTGTTCCGTGACACTAAAGGTATTTCTGATGGTTACTACCCTGGTGTTTGGAGCAGAGACTTTATTACCAGTTATTCGCGGGAATCATTTGCGTTTTAATCAAAATATATCATGATGAATTTGTGTAACGGCACCTGTCCGTGACAGTCCAGGTGCTTGGCATAGAGAGGAGGTTGTGAGGCGTAGTGCAGGTGTGGGGGCTAATGCCCCCCTCCCCACGCCCTATTAGGTGGGGGCTGATCTCCCCCTTCCCACTCCCCGCGATCGGGTGGGGTGCGACGTCTGCCTCCCCCACCCCCGTCCCCTCCGCGTTTGCATCTTTCGGGGCCCCCCGCACCCCCGAGCGGGTGACCGCCCCCCCCCCCCCCCGTACCAGGGTTCTCTCGGACCGATATAGCGAGCGGCTGGTCGACTCCGCCTAGGGGCTGAATACGCGCGTGCCCTCCCCCACTCGCGTGTCCTAACTGCGTGGATTACGTGTTTGACTCGCTGCTGTGTGGGAATAGTTAATTTCCCCTAAGCCGTTGTGTCAACAAGGCGAACGCTCGTGCGCGGTCCGGATAATAATAAATTAATCGGCGCTCACACGGCCCTCCCCTCCACCCCCACTCGCGGCTGTTTAGAGTTCATTATTTCTACTAAGCCGTTGTGTCAACAAGGCTACCGCGCGGAATCAATTAATTAATCTCGGCGCGCTACGCTCACGGCGCGGTCAAGCGTTGGTATTTTAATATGCGCGCGTCACACCCACACTGATTTATAGTCATCCACACACCGCTCTTCACACGCACACATGCACCAATCGCGTCACAATGTCAGTCTGTGCTTAGATTTATTTCCCGGAGCGAATAGGGACCCCCGTTTATGGCCCCCTCCAGCCAGCACCCTTCCTCCTATCACCTACCCATCGCAGAGTGCGTCTATCCCCTAAGCTCGAGCTGACTGAATTGACCCCCTCTTTTCCGTATCCACTCACCTCTTCAGCTGCCCGATGGGGCTGGGGAAGATGCTCGCCTTGGGGACTTTTTCTGACCGATCTTTTTCAGCTCCACCCTGCATGCGTTGGACGGACGCTGAGGACGGCTGGCCTCTCCCTCCGCTCCAGAAGGACTCTGATCTAATTTTTCCTCCTGCCCCCCTTATGTTCCCAAAACCCCTTGCCCCCCGGGTCATATGACGTCATCCTGCTCATCCAATCGAATCCTCTTTGCGGTCGTTTTGAGCGCTCTGGCCATTGGGGAGGGGGGGGGAGGGGTCGCGTCATCCCCCCCACCCTTCCCATTGTCTCTGTACCTGCGTCCCTCGCCGTTGACTCGTCGATAATCCCCTTGCCCACTCCCACTGAAGTCAACTCTTGGCCTAGGGGCTTTTCCCCCCCACCCCCCTGTTTACTCTGCCGGTGGGTACTGGTTGAAGATCCCACCCCCCCCCCCCCCCCCCCCGTGTTGTGTATGCTTCATCGCGGCCGGCCTGTAAAGCTCTATGCCCCCTTTTTGGGGGGCCGCCATGTAATCCGGTCTGGGGGGCTCAGCCATTTTCCTGGTCCGGGGAAACCGTGGAACGTCCCTGCTAGTGGGATCCTCGGGTGAAAACCCATCGTACCAGGTGATCCCTCCTCGAGACCCTACGGGGGTGCATGCGAGTGTTTAGTGGGGCGTGCGTGCGTTCGTGGGGGAGGGGTGCGAGGAGCAGGTAGCGCCGGCCGAGCTGCTCCGCTGCGGTGGCACCACACAGGGTGACTGGCAGAGGAGAGAGATGCAGGGAACGACCGAGATCGATGGCGCAACGGTTAGCGTGCTGCGCTACGAATCCCGGTGACCCAAGTTCGATTCTCGGCTCACGGCCACAACCAGTGACAATTATCTGAACCGGTCCTGGGCCTCCCCTAGGTCGACTCAGCCTCAAATGAAACAAAAACGGCCGGGCGTGGTGTTGGCCACCCACCCTCTCATGTGCCGTATCGGCCTTAATAGGTTCTCGCTAACAGCACTTGCCCAAACAGTCTGTTAAGGCTATACGTGGGATCTTTGTCTTTGGAGGTGGTATCTTGTCTCTAACCCTACTACTGGCGATGATGGGAAGCCAGTGGGGTAGAGGTGAAGGAATCTAGCGGAGCACGACACAGGTGAGATTGTTTTGCGACCGTTGGAGTTTCATGAAGTTACTCGATGAAGATCGGACAAGGACGGAGGTGTAATAATTGAGGCGAGATTCAACGAATGTGCAGGCAAAAGATTAGGAGATATTGGGGGTGGTGATCAGAGGACGTAGAGGTTTGTTGTGGGTCGATATATTTCCAGGTTGTCTTGCTGGATGCCTGGTTTCTTGAGCAGCGAGGTGACTTGACCGATTTTGTAGTAAGACGAGAAACATCGGACTGCGAAAGAAGGTTTGGCAATATAGGCAGGGCCGTCCCTAGGGTACGGACAATCGGGGCAACCAAAACAAACTAAACAATTGAATTTTATCAGGAAAGGCCCACTGAGCTACATAGCTCTTTTTCAGAAGCGACCTGGCCACCAATGGTAGCTCAACAAAGTGGCTTATCACGTGGAAATTTATAGCAGCCAATCACTCTAAAACGCATGTTTCTAAATGTGGAGGGGAAAACCAGAGGACCCAGAGAAAAATCCACGTGACCACAAGGAGAGAGACGCCGCAAACTCCAAATATACAGGCATCAGGGTTGGGATCGAACCCATGACCTGTATACCAGGCGATGTAGTTAATAACTTGCCATCGTGGCGCCCCACGCATTGGGTGCCTCCGCACTTCGCCCCATCACAGTGTCAGATGTAATGCTTCCGGTTTAGTTTGAAATCAACGGGGGGCCCACACGGTGTGATTTGCCCTGGGCCCCGCACCCCCTCTATGGATGGCCATGGATATAGGCGATCATGGTGGAGAGTCCTGTGGCACACTGAACTGCGAATTGGGGAGTGTGTTCAGAGGAGACAACTGGATATGCAGTGCTTGCATGAGGGAGAATACATTCTTTGGCAGCACGAGCGTGATGGACGGGAATGTTGCAGGAGTCGGGGTGTGGGGTGGTGCAAACTCCCCCCTGTTCTGCATGGGTTTGCTCCAGGTTCTCCACTTCCTATAATTAAAACCAGACAATGTTCCTGGAATTAGCCAAATGTCATAATGCTGAAAAATTACCTGCAAATTGCTCACTTGGGATTACACGCAATATTACACTCTTCTACAAAAACTGACAGGACCCTCCCTGAAGAAGGGTCTTGAGACTCAGCAAAACTTTCCTGGGTAAACGAGTGTAATAATAAACAAAAATATTGCATCTTCCGACACGACTCCAAACATTTGAGCAGAGGTTGTCTGGTTTCGGATGTGACTTGGTGTGGAACTTTTGTTTTATTCTAAAGTGTTTTTGTGGCTTTTTACCTATTAAACCCCATTAAAGAGAACACATTGGCAAGTAATGTTTCTATTGTTTTTTACTGTTTATGGGGAAAATATGATCCGGTTTACGATGATGGGGTTTCCAAGAATGCATTGTTACAATCTTTATTTGAAGCTTTCGTGACTGCAGGAATCCATACTCTTTGGTTCTTTCGGTAAAGTCACATAGGTAGAAATAAAATCAAACAAATCGCGACGTTTCGATCGCAACACAAGCAATCTTCATCAGGTGGGACAACCATAGCAAGAAAATGCTGAAGTCGGCGGGAGAGCTGCCGTGGCAAGAGGTTATATAGGTAAGAGAGGAGGGAGGAGGCAAGGGGGGAGAGAGAGAGGGGGGTGTGGGGTATGGGGAGGGCCGTGTGAGCGCTAGGGGAAGAGGACGTGAGGCTGGGGGGGGGGGGGAAGTGGGCGGGGCTAGAAGTGGGAAGTTGGGGAAGAACAGATAGAGGACGTGAGGCTGGGGGGGGGACGTGGGCGGGGCTAGCCGTAAACCGGCAGGTAATGATGGAAACAACAACAAGAACAACAAGTTAAGGCATTACCTGGTTGATAACATCCTTCCAATGATTGTTCCATTTGTATCCATCTTCTCGGTTGAGGTTTTGTCTGTTTATATATCTGTGTAGAGGTGTTAACTACGCGCTGTTGCGTAACCTGCGTTGCCACCAGGGCGGTGCAGCATTACCCCTGGGTACAACGGTTGGGGTCAGTCGAGGTGAAACGGATCGTGGCCAGGGTTTGGTGCGAACCAATCAGACGGTTCCACGTGGGAATGTATGATTGGTTCTACCTGGCCACGAAGGGGTATAAGATGGGTGACCCAACGGACCTGGAGGAGTTCTCTCCCTGCACGAAGACAGAAGACTGGGCTGAAGCCTAGCTAGGACCCTGGACCAGCCTTTCAGCCCTTCTAAGGGCTAAGGCTCGGCATACCCAGTGGTCAGGACCCACCGGGCCAGCGGTGGGTCAGATAGCCTCCCCTAGGTCCTAGCCGGAGGACTAGGATAGCGGTAAACGTGTGAGTCCCGCCAAGTCCGGAGGTTGTACCTCCTTAGGTATCAAGGAGGTTAGCGGTAGACGTGTGAGTCCCGCCAAGTCCGGAGGCTGTACCTCCCTAGGGTATCGGGTGAGGGGACCGAATATCCCTCTGTGTGTGTTAAGCATTGTATAAGGAAATAATACAATAAACAGAGTGTGCCTCCATAAGAAGTCTGCTCGTCCTTACAACACTACAACTGGAGTCAGAAGTGGTTGGAAATGGAAACCAGAAGTTCAGCCCACGCGCGGAGCCAGAACGAAGATAATGCTGTCTCACCTGCATGCACCGGCTGCTCCGCTGAAAACGCTGCCGCGTTGACGGCCGCCCAGCCACCGGTTGAGCAGCCGGTTGCTTCCCCTGCCATGGGGGACGGACTCAAGGCAGCACACGGCCGTCTCGCTCAACTCCTACATGCCGCGGCCTCCATTCTCGAAGAGATCAACTTGGAGGTTGCGGGCAGGCCGAGTCAACCGCCGGCAGACGTTCCCGCCATCGGCCAGGGCAGACATTTTGATTTTCCCGCCGGGGAACCACGTGATTCCGCCGGAAGCGGA